TGTTTAACTCTGGTACCAGTGTAGAAATCATTTCAGTGGGATCCTATGTTTAACATTGATTGCTTTAAGACTCTGACCCAGTGGTGTTTCCCAAAACAAAACAAGCTGCAGACTTGGAGAAAGTCTAATTAAACATGATTGATCCACAAACTTTTTATTAGCCCTGTCCTTTAGTCTAGGTACTGACATTATAATGAAAAATTTGAAAATTTGTTGTTGTTCCTATTTAATTTGAGCTTCACCACTGAAACCTCTCCTTGAGTTAGTTGGGTGAATACTAATTTGGAGACATGGTAAGAGAGGAGCTCTCCTTCCAGCCCCCCTTTCTTGAATATATAAATATCCCTAGATATCTTGAGGAAGAGCTGATGAAATTTGGTGATAAATAAGCAGATGTGGTTAATTTGGGATCCATTTAAGTTATACTTAGAATTTAATGATTTATGCATGCATATTCACTCATGGAGAACAAATAAACGTGATAAACTATGTAGTGATTTTTCTACAGAAAAGAGGTTGCAGAAGGGTTAGACTTTGGAATTGTAAATTGGTTTGTATTTGCATTACCATGTGGTAAGATTTTGTAGCACCCACGAAATTACTTTGGTCTACTAGAATAATTGATTACAAGATTTGTATCTAATCTTGTGGAGATAGAGCTATTTTAGCACTTTGGTATGAGATTCATAAACCTATCGTCTATTTGAATAGACATGATGCTGAAGTCTAAAGAATTCATTTTACTTCTTGTCTTTCCTCTTTTTCCTTTCCCTCATTTTCATTTCTCTTTGCTATTTATCTCAAAATGAGAAAGCTAAAGTGAAAGTAGTTCTGATTGGGTGTGTATTCATCTGCAGGTGCCTGGGGCATCCCACTTTTTGTGTAGTAATTATTTATCCCTTTCTGTGACATAGTGTTAGTTTAATATGTGATTATGGCTAAGAAATGCAGCTATCCTGGTGAGAGATGACAAATTGTTGTTTTTGTAGGCAATAATAACTAACATTTTTTGAATGGTTACTGCATGCTAGGCAATATGCTTTCTGTGCATTATTTCATTTAATCTTCTTGACATCCATATGAAATTGGTACCATTACAGCCCCCCTGATAGATAAGGAGATCAAGGGTTTTAGGCCACGTGACTTGACAGCCCTCTTCTTGCCTTCAGGACCTATGCTCTTTACCATCATACCCCCTCTGTATGTTCCTTCAAGGACTAAATACAACATGTTCTCTAATTTTATAACACCACATTCTACTATCAGGCACAGCTGGACATTGTCTTCTGAGCTGGTTTCTCTGGCTGAAATGTTGAAGCCAAAGTGGAATACTGGATTCAATTGGATTTYAATTTTTCTGTTTAAAATGAGAGACTTGGAGCAGATAAATGCTAAGGTATTTTATATATGTGAGTCTATGGCCAAATCAATTCAAGAACTAGCTCTATTTTCTTATCTAGGATTTAGAATGGATGGACCTTTATAATTTATACCTTCAATTTTTCTTCCCTTTAGATTTAAATATTTTTCCTACTGGGCCTGAGGTCTCTGATTGACATTTAATTCTCACCATGTACCTGAAGGAAGGAACTAGGGCTGGTTATGTAGCTCAGAGGTAGAGTTCTTGCCTAGCATATGTGAGGCCCTGGATTTGATACTCAGTGTGCATGTGCATATACACACACACACACACACACACACCCACACATACGCACACAGAGCAGCTCCATAAGACCTATGAGAAAACTGAGGTTCAGAGGGATTAGATAACCTGTCTAAGGTCACCTAGCAGGAAAGTGCTAGAGCCACCATTGGAACCTACTTCTTTCTAGTTCTGAATCAGTACTCTTCACTCTTTCACAGTGCCTCCCACACTGTTTGTATGTTTGCTTTTATTTAGGTGCTCAAGGATTTCTTATGAAAAAAGTTGCAGTATGGATCAGTTTATATGTGATAGAGATTTCCTGTATTACATCATGAGATTGAGAACTAATCAAAGTCATTTATGTAGCTCTGGTCATTTGAAATCTCAAGTGTTTTCAGAATTGAGGTTTTTAAAAAATCTGCTGAAGCTTGAGCAATCTGAGATGGCTCACCAAATATCTGGCTTTATGATTTAATCAGTTAGCCAGGTATAAGGAACACCATTGATAATAACTCTTCATCAATATACATTACATTTTCTTTCACATGCATTTTAATTATTTTTTACTCATTCTGTGTCATTTTCCAGGTAAAGAAACTTCAGCAGATTATTACCTAGGGTTAACAAATGAATCAGTTGGTGGCAGAAATAATAAACATAGGATTCATCTTTCTCAGCATCGCATTCTGAGTACTGAATTCATTTGAAATACAATGGTCTCACAGAAATCAAACTGCTGCTGTCCCTGGATGATAATACTGCCATTGTTGTTGTTGGGATGATGATAATAATAATTTTTATATTTATGTTCAAAAACACTGTTCTAAGTCTTTTACATGTCCTTAATATATATATGTCTCATAACCCTCTATGACAGGTTATAAATGAGGAAGGAACTTATCTCCATGTAACAGATGATGGAATATGACAGAATTCATGTCACTTCTTTGGAGGGTCTGTAGCTTAGGGACCATTTCTTATGATGATATTTGTATTTCTCTTACTATTGAGCATAAAGTTTAAGACGCAGTAGCTACTTATTAAATCTTTTGCTTCATTGATTTATCAATTAGAATAGATGAATAGTTCTTCCAGTGCTGAGTCATGGAATTGATATAGGAATCTTGGATCTTTTCCTGATACAAAATTGAAATATTCTTTGCTACTAGTTGTTTATTTAGGGGGAATTAGCATTGTGAGTTATCCATCTTTTGGTGTGAACAAGATGCTGAATTAAATATGAATTTCAGATCAATAACAAAGAATATTTTAACTAAGTATGTCCCAAATATGACAAAGAACATTTAACAATAAAAATTTATTACTTATCTGAAATTCAAATTGAAGTGGATATCCCATATTTTAAATTTCTAAGTCCAGTAACCCTAGTGTTAGTGTTCAGAAAATAACTTTAGAGRATATTCTGAAAAGAGCAGGCCGTTACTTCCTTCTTAAATGCTATGAGCCGTGAGGCAATTAAGATACTCTAATTTCATCTGCTCTCACTGTATGTTCTATAAACCAAGCCAAAAGTACATGTTTTCTTAGGAGATCAGCTAGCACTCTTTTCAATAGATCAGACTAGAAAGTTACTATCAATATGATCAAAAACACCTTGGGTCTAACTGCCGTCCAGCTCCAAAATTCTTTAATTCTCAGTGACTTTCTAATATCAAAGAAGTGTCTATTGTTCCCATCTAGTATTGTTGCTTCCTCTATGAGAAGGTGTTATGAAGTCCCTCCCAAAAGTAAGTGATACCCTAGCTTGGCATATTCCCTTGGACTCAAAGAAACCTAGGTATTGGTGGTTGTTATATGTTCCAGTATCCACGATGTGCCTTTCAATGCTCCAGCCACTGTGTCACTTTGTCAACCTATGATGTAAAGGCTTCTTTCTCTCTTAGTCACATCCTTTTTGCTTAATCCTGTGCCATGGCCTTTAGCAGGGAAAGGATTACATCACCCTGTACCCTCATCTGTAAGATGAGATAAAGTAGTTTTCCAACCAACATTTGCAGACTCCCTCTTAGGTTCCGCCCGACACTTGCTCCTCTGTTTTCTGTTCCCTGTTTTAGTTAAAGAGTATGTCACTAAGCATGTGCTAGAAATCTTTGCATCAACTTTGCTCCACCTTCTAGTCTCATTTGAATCTCACAAGTCAGGAAGCCCTATGGAATCTGCCTCTTAAATGTCTTTTGGGTCTTTTTTCTCTGTACTGGTGTGGCCGCAGACAGTTCCCATTCATCTGGCCACTCACCTATCTTCACATCTATCACAAGTTCCTTCCTCAACAGACCTGAATATGGTGATTTTTTGCCTAAACCTCCTTGATCTCTTTTGGCATGACTTTTTCCAAACTTAGCTTCAAACTTTTGAGAGTAGTGTTCGGGGGTTAAACCCAGGGACACTCTATCACTGAGCAATCTTCCTAGCCTTTTTAACATTTTGTTTTGAGATAGGGTCTCACTGGGTTGTCTAGGCTGGCCTCAAACTTGGAATCCTCCTGCCTCAGACTCTTGAGTTGCTGGGATTATAGGTGTGCATCACTGCATCTGGCTTCAAACTATTTTCTCTACTGATTCTCCCACTCCTTGCCACTCACCAAGTCACTTACCCTGCACTGGATGCATCACGTGCATTTCATCAAATCTTTGTTCATACTTGGGATGTTTTTATTTTCTTTTTCTGTTTGCCAGAATCTTACTTGTTGCTGCTTTACCTCAAAAAAAAAAAAAAAATTAACTGTTTCCTGCATAGATTTAACATCAGAGTCCCCTTTTATCTTAATTTATGAAAGTCAAATTCATGGTAAAGGCAAAGAAAGTATTGTTTTAAAAAATTCTCACAATAAAATAATTAAATCTAAAACATAACTCTGCAGACAGCATTTTTTTAGTTGCAGATGGACACAATACTTTTATTTTATTTATTTATTTATTTTATTTATTTTTTATGTCTTGCTGAGGATTAAACGAAGTGCCTCACACATGCTACGCAAGTGCTCTACCASGGAGCCACAATCCCAGCCCCAGCAATTTGGTTTTAAGGAGCAAACTTACATTAGTAAGAAAAAATTGTTTTAATATACACTTTGATATCTAATGTTTTAAAGAGCAAATAGCCTTGGGCAGTGTTCATCATCCAGGGACAATGATGAACAGGCTGAGAACAAATAAGGAGTACAGGGGAAATCTTGAAGCTGTACAGTCCATTGTTCTTGACTAAATTACCGATTCATCTGAATTCCCATTTAAGTGGAGGGTTATGAAAGGGCTCAGATGAGATGAGAAACTATGAAACAAGTCCAGACCCAAGTATGGCAGTTAATGATGGTAAATGCCTGTTTGCTTTTCAGAACATCGAGCTGAAGGTTGAAGTGGAGAGCCTGAAAAGAGAACTTCAGGACAAGAAACAGCATCTGGATAAATCATGGTGAGGTGCAGTTTGAACAAGGAGCAGAGCAGTGTGAACAGAGGAACTCTATTCCTTTCTCAGAATCCAGTTCCCTAATTTGGGAGCAATCAATTTGGATCAAATTCCTTTACTTTATCCCTGGCATTTGAATGTTATGTCCAGTTCAGGAACTAAAACCATGGATGTTTATGTACTTTCTTTCCCTTGGATTTTCTGTCTATTACTTGGTAAAACAGACATTGCTGCAGAATGGTACTTCCACCAGACTTAAATTTATGAAGTTCCTATTAAACAGTAAGGAATAAATCAGGGAATAGTGAATACTTCCACTTTTAGTTGAAAGAGACAAATGCAAATAACCTTTGTCAGAGAGTATCTATCAATTGGATAACGTCAAAGGCTGACATAATGATTGGGGAAAATGGACATGCCCATATGCTTCTGATGAGAGAAGTGTGGCTGCATTTTGATATGTGTTGCTATCTATCAAAATTAAAAAGAAACATTTCCTTTGCTCAATTAATCCCTAGAATTATTCTGTTTCTCATAAATAAAGGCACTCCTGTGAAAGGTTAAATGTATAAGGGTATTTGTGGTTCATTATTTGTAACAGCAAAACAAACRAACAAAAATCTCCAACTATCCATCAATAGGACAATGATTGAAAAAAAAATTCAAGAAAACTATCCTGTGGACTTTATTCGGTTATTAAAAAGAATGAGTTGCCTCTATATTATTGTCCTGGTAGAAAGTTCTCAATAAAATAAGTAAGGGGGAAAAGTGCTAAGTGATGTGTACACTGCTAGCCCCTTTGGGTAAAGATATATATTTGCTTGATTATGCCTAGAAAAAAAATGGAGGGTTGCCACCAAGATCTTTTGTTTTCAAAAAATTTTAAGTCATTTCATTTTGGTGACAAAATCCTGTTTTAAAAACTGAGAGAATCAGGGTATAGAGAGTTGAAGTCATCTTAAGTTACTGGTGGAGCCAACATCTGGCATCAAGTTGAAGGACCTTCTGGCTTCACAAAAACTATAGTTTCTTAAAACAGGCATTCCTGGCTGAGTTACTCAGAAAACGTGTAGCCTTCAYTCTTTAGAGATTTTCATTGGTTGTCTACTGTGTTTTATTAAGGACTGTGGAGTCAAAGTAAAAGTTGATTTCCAAGTTCTGCCTAGTTCGGAGGTCTTCAGTCATTCCCTTGGCTTTTGTCCAGGTATAGTCAAGGCCTTCATACTCCCCAAAAGCAGTATAATGATAAAACAACTCAAAGTAAGTGTACCCTCTGGAATGGTGCAGAGTAATATTCACTGTCAGCCAAGGAATCCTGTAATCTTCAGGGAAGCCAAATTTGGGCTCCATGGACATAACTTCCTAAGCCAAACATTGAAGTAACTGTGCTTGGTGATACTTTATGAGCCTGTAAATATTCAATATGGTTCTCTGCTCTCAGAGTAAGAAGATGATACGTGGTTCTTAATAAATGGCTTAGAACAGGAATAAAAGCCAACCGGAATTAAGATCAGTCAGCACCTGATACTGCCCTGAAAAATTCTAATGCTCAGATATCCAAGGACAGCTGTTGTTGGCTATAAATAAACTCGTGATACCTTACCCGCTTCATGTTAGAGCTTGGATATTAATTCCTCGGGATATCAGAGAAGCAAAGCTCAGCCAAAACGCTGAGCTCCCATAGATTAAATATCTGCTCTCTGTGAGAGACCATGGAAAACTGGATAGAAATCTGCGTAGGTAGCCCAGATTAAGGACAGTCTACTATGCATTCCCAGCTATAAATGCAGAGGACATTTCTGTGGTGGTCTAGGTTGATACCCTGTCCCAGTATTCTGAACAGAAGGAACACTTTAAGTTTAAACAACTGGAAGGGCAAGAAATTAGCAAACCCGTCTAGAAAAAGCAGTCCAAATGGGAAAGTTCAGGGACAGATGGTAGTGAACATGGGTGCTGACTAGCTGCCTTCTGAAAGAAGTTTCCTTCTCCTGAAGTTACAGCTCTTTGAAGTCTCTAGGAAGCCAGGCATAGCATGCTTGTCAAGCAACAAAAAATTAGAATTCCTGAGAGATTGCCTGAGAAAGTTGGACAGAGCAGTTCCACAGATAATTGCAGGAAAAAAAAAAAAGTTGCTTCTTTTTCTTTTCCTCGGTGTGACTCTGGATTGCTGGAACAACCTCAGTGAGTTCTCTGGTGAAATTAAGTGTCTGGCTTTCACTGGCTAATGCTCCATGTTTCTAGGGCTGACGTGGAGAATCTCAACAGCCAGAATGAAGCTGAGCTCCGGCGCCAGTTTGAGGAGCGACAGCAGGAGACGGAGCATGTTTATGAGCTCTTAGAGAATAAGATCCAACTGCTGCAGGAGGTAAGCAGGAGTCTTCAAGGCCCATGGCGAGGGGTCCTCTTTGAATCTCTTCCTGCTGTCCTGTTTTCTGGCCTCCATTTTTCACCTCTGTACTGTGTCATAGAGCTCCTCACCTAGGTGGGACTTGGCAACCTCTGTTTTCATTCTTTTTTAAAAAAAATTTATTTATTTTAATTAGGTATATATGACAGCAGAATTCATTTTGATTGATTGTACACAATTGCAGCACAAATTTTCATTTCTCTGCGCACAATGTAGGGTTGCACCATATGAGAAGTCATACATGTATGTAGAGTAATAATGTCTATCACATTCCACCTTGTTTCCTGCCCTCATATGCCCTCCCATCCTCTCCCTCCCCTTTACCCCATCAAAGTTCCTCCATTTTCCCCATGCCTACCCCCATTATGGATCAGCATTCACTTATCAGGGAGAACATTTGGCCTTTGAATTTTGGGGATTGGCTAACTTCGATTAGCATGGCATTCTCCAACTCCATCCATTTATGTGCAAATGCCACAATTTTATTCTCTTTTAATGATGAGTAATATTCTACTGTGTGTGTGTGTGTGTGTGTGTGTGTGTGTGTATATATATATATATATATATATATATATATATATATATATCACAGTTTCTTTATCCATTCATCTATTGAAGGGCATTTAGTTTTTTTCCACAGTTTAGCTATTATGAATTGAGCTGCTATAAACATTAATGTGTCTGCGTTACTATATTATGCAGATTTTAAGTCCTTTGGGTATAGACTGTGGAGTGGGATAGCTGGATCAAATGTGGTTCTACTCCCAATTTTCTAAGGAATCTCCATACTGCTTTCCAGAGTGGTTGCACCAATTTGTAGTCCCACCAGCAATGTATGAGTGTGCCTTTCCCCCCACAGCCTCACCAACACTTATTGTTGTTTGTATTCTTGATAACTGCCATTCTGATTGATATGAAATCTTAGAGTAGTTTTCATTTTCATTTCTCTAATTACTAGAGATGTTGAACAGTTTCTCATATATTTGTTGTCTGTTTGCTCCTTAGCCCACTTATTGATTAGGTTTTTTTTTTTTTTTTGGTGTTAAGTTTTCTGAGTTCTTTATATATCCTGGAGATTAGTATTCTATATGACGTGTGTGTGGCAAAAATTTTACTCCCAAAATGTAGGCTCTCTCTTTACCTCACTGATTGTTTCTTTTGCCAAGAAGAAGCTATTTAGTTTGAATCCATCCCATTTATTAATTCTTGATTTTATTTCTGTGCTTTCGGAGTCTTACTAAGGAAGTCAGAGCCTAATCTGACGTGATGAAGATTTGGACCTGTTTTTTCCTCTGTTAGGTGCAGAGTCTCTTCCTAGGTCCTTGATCCACTTTGAGTTGAGTTTTGTGCATGGTGAGAGATAGAGGTTTAATTTCATTTTGCTGCATATGGATTTCCAGTTCTCCCCACACCATTTGTTGAAGAGGCTTATCCTCAGCATTCATTTTCCAATGTATATTTTCGGCTCCTTTGTCTAGTATGAGATAAATGTATTTATATGGGTTTGTCTCTGTGTCTTCTGTTCTATACCCTGGTCTACATATCTATTTTGGTGCCATTTTTGTTACTATAGCTTTGTAGTATAGTTTAAGTTCTGGTATTATGATGCTTCCTTCTTTACTATTCTTTCTAAGGATTGCTTTGGCTATTCTGGGTCTCTTATTTTTCCAAATGAGTTTCATGATTGCCTTTTCTATTTCTATAAGGAATGACATTGGGATTTTAATTGGAATCACATTGAATCTGTATAATGCTTTGGGTAGAATGGCCATTTTGACAATACTAATTTTACCTTAAAAGAGCATGGGAGATCTTTCCATCTTCTAAGATGTTCTTTAATTTCGTTCTTCAGTGTTTTGTAGTTTTCATTGTAGAGGTCTTTCACCACTTTTGTTAAGTTGATTACCAAGTATTTTTTTTTTTTTGACGCTATTGTTAATGGGGTACTTTTCCTAATTTCTTTTCTAGAGGATTCATCACTGATATATAGAAATGAATTTGATTTATGGGTATTGATTTTATATCCTGCTACTTTGCTGAATTCATTTATTAACTCTAGAAGTTTTCTGATAAAGTTTTTTTGGTCCTCTAAGTATAAAATCATGTCATCAGCAAATAATGATACTTTGAGTTCTTCTTTTCCTATTTGTATCCCTTTAACTTCTTTCATCTGTCCAATTGTTCTGACTAGAGTTTCAAGAACTTTGTTGAATAGAAGTGGTAAAAGAGGGCATCCCTGTCTTGTTCCAGTTTTTAGAGGAAATGCTTCCAATTTTACTCCATTTAGAATGATGTTGGCCTTGGGTTTAGCATAGTAGCTTTTACAATGTTGAGGTATGTTCCTGCTATCTCTAGTTTTTTAGTGTTTTGAATATGAAAGAGTGCTGTATTTTGTCAAATGCTTTGTCTGCATCAATTGATATAATCACATGATTCTTTAAGCCTGTTGACGTTGTGAATTATATTTATTGATTTCCTTATGTTGAATCAACCTTGCATCCCTGGAATGAACCCTACTTGATCATGGTGCACTATTTTTTAAATATGTTTTTGTATGCAGTTTGCCAGAATTTTATTGAGAATTTTTGCATCAGTGTTTATCAGAGATAATGGTCTAAAATTTTCTTTCCTTGATGTGTCTCTGCCTGGTTTTGGTATCAGGATGATACTAGCTTCATAGAATGAGTTTGGAAGCTTTCCTCCTTTTCTATTTCATGGAATAATTTGAGGATGTTGGTATTAATTCTTCTTTGTAGGTCTTGTAGAATTTAGCTGTGAATCCATCTGGTCTCGGCTTTTCTTGGTTGGTAGGCTTTTGATGGTGTCTTCTATTTCCTTGCTTGAAATTGATTTTATATTTTCCCTTCAACTCAGTTTGGGTTGATCATATGGCTCTAGAAATTTGTTGGTGTATTTGAGGTTTTCTGTTTTATTAGAGTGTAATTTTTCAAAATAGTTTCTAATTGTCTTCTGTATTTCAATAGTGTCTGTCATGATAGTTTCTTTTTCATCGTGAATTTTTATAATTTGAGTTTTCTCTCTCCTTTTCAGTTGGGTGGCTAAGGGTTTGTCAATTTTATTTATTTTTTCAAAGAACCAGCTTTTTGTTTTGTAAATTTTTTGGATTGTTTCTTTTGTTTCAGTTTCATTGATTTCTGCCTTGATTTTAGTTATTTCCTGTCTTCTACTACTTTGGATGTTGGTTTGTTCCTCTTTTTTCTAGGACTTTGAGCTGTAATGTCAGTTCGTTTATTGACTTTTTCTTCTTTTAATGAATGAACTCCATGCAATGAACTTTCCTTTTAGCACTGCCTTCATAGTGTCCTATAGATTTTGACAAGTTGATTCACAGTTCTCATTTACCTCTAAGATTTTTTTATCTCCTTCCTGATGTCTTCTGTTACCCATATGTCATTTAATAGTATATTGTTTAGTCTCTGGGTGTTGGGTAGCTTCTGTTTTTAATTTTGATTTCTATTCATATATAATTTCTGTTCAATCAATAATTTAATTGATTTATAATTTCATTCCATCATGGTCAGATAGAATGCAGAGTAGTATCTCTGTGTTTTTGTATTTGCTAAGACTTGCTTTGTGGCATAACATATGGTCTATTTTGGAGAAGGATCCATGTGCTGCTGAGAAAAAAGTGTATTCCCTCTGTGATGGATGGAATAGTCTATATATGTCTGTTAACTTACTGATTGTATTATTGAGTTCAATAGTTTCTTTGTTTAGTTTTGTTTGGAAGATCTATCCAGTGGTTAGAGAGGTTTATTACAGTCACCCAGTATTATTGTGTTGTGGTCTATTTGATTATTGTAGTTGAGAAGGATTTGTTTGATATATGTAGCTGCCCCATTGTTTGGGGCATAGATATTTATGATTGTTATGTCTTGTTGATGTATGAATCCCTTAAGCAGTATGAAATGTCCTTCTTTATCCCTTTTCACCAGCTTTGATATGAGGATGGAAACCCCTGCTTGTCTACGTGGTTCATGTGAGTGGTATGTTTTTTTTCTACTCTTTCACATTAAGTCTATGGATGACTTTTCCTGTGAGATGAGTCTCTTGAAGGTCTTTTTAAAAAAATCATAGAATTATGGGATAACATCAATTGTGGCTTTCAATTGATGAGTTTGGGCCATTTACATTCAAGGTTATTATTATTATTATTATTATTWTTTTAATATTTATTTTTTGGTTGGCGGACACAACATCTTTGTTGGTATGTGGTGCTGAGGATCGAACCCGGGCCGCACGCGTGCTAGGCGAGCGTGGTACCGCTTGAGCCACATCCCCAGCCCCATCAAGGTTATTATTGAGACATGATTTGTATTCCTGGTCATTTTGGTTTCTTTTTGGTTTTTTAACTTGACTTTGTTTCTCCTTTGATTGGCCTTTCCTTTAGTATAGTTCCTCTCTTTGCTGATTTTCCTTGTTGTTGTTCATTTCCTCCTCCTGGAATATTTTGCTGAGAGTGCTCTGTAGTGCAGGCTTTCTCGCTATAAATTCTTTTAATTTTTGTCTATCATGAAAGGTATTAATTTTGTCATCATATCTGAAGCTTAATTTTGCTGGATATAAGATTCTTGGTTGGCATCCATTTTCTTGTAGAGCTTGGTATATGTTGTTCCAGGATCCCTTGACTTTGAGGGTCTGGATTGAAAAATCTTCTGAGATCCAAATTGTTCTCCCCCTATATGGGATCCGATTCCCCTCTCTTGTGGTCTTTAAGATTCTATCCTTATTCTGTATGCTAGGCATTTTCATTATAATGTGCTTTGGTGTAGATCTGTTGTAATTTTATACATTTGGTGTCCTGTAAGCCTCTTGCATTTGGTTTTCCAATTCATTCTTCAAGTTTGGGAAGTTTTCTGATATTATTTAATTAAAGAGATTGTGCATTCTTTTGGTTTGCATCTCTGTGCCTTCCTCTATCCCAATAAATCTTAGATTTGGTCTTTTGATGTTATCCCATAATTCTTGGATCTTCTGTTTATGGTTTCTTCTTTCATTGTGTGGTCAGAATGTACTTTATTTTCAAGATTATATATTTTGTCTTCATTATCTGACATTCTGTCTTCCAAATGATCTAGTCTGTTGGTGATACTTTCTATTGTTTTTTTTTTATTTGGTTTATTGTTTCTTTCATTTCAAGGATTTCTGATTATTTTTTGGGGTGGGGATCGGGGATTGAACTCAGGGGCACTTGACCACTAAGCCACATTCCCTATTTTGTATATCATTTAGAGACAGGTTCTCACTGAGTTTCTTAGTGCCTCACTTTTGCTGAGGCTGGCTTTGAACTCGCAATCCTCCTGCTTCAGCCTCCCGAGCCACTGGGATTACAGGCATGCGCCATCACTCCCAGCTGATTGTTTTTTTTTTTTTGTTTTTGTTTTTTAGAATCTTTATCTCTTTCTTGAAGTAATATTTTGCTACCTGTATTTGCTCCCTTATCTCTTTGTTGGAATTATCAACTTTTGCCTGTATTTGCTCACTTAGGCCATTCTTTAATTCATAGATCATTTTAATTATGTACATTCTGAACTCCTTCTCTGACATTTCATCAACTGTGCTGTCAGTGGATTGTATTATTGTAGTATCTTGATTTGTTTGGGGCGCTTTCCTCCCTTGTTTTTTTCATGTTGTCTATATGTCTTCCTTTCTTGCAGTGTGGATCTGGGGTTTTATAGTTTCTATCCTATAATCTTGTAGTGTCCCTGAAGATTACCTATACCTCACCTTGGTGTTGGGCTTCTAGACCCTTGCCCATGTCCCACGATAAATGCTATTGCAACTAAAGGTGGTGGTGGCAATAGCAGAGATAACTCAAAATAACAGTGAGGGTATCCCAAGATGGATGGGCTGAAAGGATGGGCTGCCTGTTTGGAGATGCAACAGTTGTCCCCAGGTAGAGGCTACTGTGTGGGGAGGGCTATGGTGTTGATGCAGTGTCCCCAATGGAGGTGGGGTAGGCCTGGGCTCTGGTGTGGGTCTTCTGGTCAGCAGGCAGTCCTGGGCCTAGGCCTGGGTTCCGGTGTGGGCCTGACAATTGGCCAGCCCCTAAAGTCTTAACCTGTTTTCATTCTTTTTTCAGGAATCCAGGCTAGCAAAGAATGAAGCTGCACGCATGGCAGCTCTGATGGAAGCAGAGAAAGAGTGTAACCTGGAGCTCTCAGAAAAACTGAAGGGAGTCACTAAGGACAGGGAAGATGTACAGGGAGACCAGGTCAAGCCTGACCAGTACACTGAGGCCCTGGACCAGAGGGACAAGTATGTGCCTTTGGTGCTCTTTGCTTGACTTTGCCTATTCTCCGGGCCATCAGAATGTTCAATGGCCACACTGTTCCCTGTTAGGACTGATGGTGGAGTGGCAGAACCTTCACCATTGCTAAGACTTTCTGGTCCCACAACCCAAGATTTTCTTTTCAGGGTTGAGTCTTCAACAGCATCCATTAAAAAAACTCACTTCTTACCAGTCACGAGGCCAAGTATGAATAGTAAATCAACAAAGTGGTCCAGTGGTGGTAAGCAAGAGATTGGGTCTTTCTTCTCTTTGCTGCAGGAGAATCGAAGAACTGAGTCAGAGCCTGGCTGCCCAAGAGAGGCTTGTAGAACAACTCTCTCAGGAGAAACAGCAACTGCTACATCTGCTGGAAGAGCCCACGAGCATGGAAGTGCAGGTAGGGTTTGGGCTGTATGTCCCAGGGCACTGGCTTCATGCTATCATGACCTTTACCTTTATTATCTATTTCTGTGTAACAAATTGCCACAGACTTGGCAGTTTTTTTTTTTTTTTAATTTAGTTGTAGATGGACACAATACCTTTATTTATTTCATTTATTTATTTTATGTCATGCTGAGGATCAAACCCAGTGCCTTACATGTGCTAGGCTAGTGTTTTACCACTGAGACACAACTCCAGCCCCAGACTTAGCAGTTTAAAACCACACGTATGTGTTATCTCAGTTTATGTGAGTCAAAAGTCTAGACATGCCTTAATTGGGTTCTCAGTTCAGGGTCTCATAACTCTGAAATAGAGGTGTGGATGGGATTTTCTTCATCTGGAGGTGAAATAAGGGAAAGATCTGTCTCTAAACTCCCTCAGGTTACTGGCACAATTTATCTCTGTATGGTTGTAGAAGTAGGATCTTGTTTCTTCACAGCCAGCAGTGGAGAAAAGACTATTGCTTCTCTAATATCTAGATCCTCTTTTAAGGTTCACCTGATTAGGTCAGGCTCACCAGTGTGCTGTTCCTTTCTTGTTAACTTAAAGTCAACTGATTGGGAGCCTTAATTACATCTGAAAAATCTCACTTTTGCTACATAATAGTATAATTGTGTAGTGAACTTTACCTTTGCCATGCTCTATTGATTAGAAGCAAATTACAAGTCTTTCCAATATTCAAGTGATGGGGATTACACAAAAGTGGGAATTATAGGGACCCGCTTGGATTTTTGCCAACCATGCTGAGTGATTTATAACTAGATAGATAGAACATTGAATGTGGTTTTAATATTGAAGAGATCACACTTGCTATGGTGAAAATAACTGTATCTTTATCTATGTCATTGCTCTTGGAAGTGAGCCCAGAGGGAACTCCCTTCTCCACTTGACATTTAATTTACCAAAAATAACTTTCTAAATAAACCTTAGAATATATTGGAGCTCAAGTAACATAACAATTCCCAGGTATTCTTATAATGATAAAACAAAATGTGTGATTTAGCATATTGATTCACATATACAAAGTTTGGAGTCAGGATAAAGAACAGTGGTAAGAATTACTTTAACCCAGTGCTTCCCAGCCTTTTCCATGTCTTGGTACATACAACAAATGGTAACATTAGCAAGGTGTAGGTGTAAATAGATGAAGCTTCTCAGTAGGAGGTGACTAGCCTGGGTGTGTAGGCCACAGTGAGGACAAAAGAAATTATTGTTCTGGCCATACTTGTGAGCTTTTTAGACTGCAGACCCATTGTTGTTGGTAAGATTTGGTTAATAAATTCAAGAAGTGATGTGTGTGTATGTAATTTGACCGCTATGAATAAAAATTAAAATTCATAGGCTTTTTGTAAGATACATGTTGAAATACTTGAAGTTTCTTCAGGAACTCTTGAAAAGATTTCATAACACATTTTCATTAGAAAAAACTTGACTAGGAATGAGGATTTAATTTCTCTCCTCATTACTAGCTGTATGACTATGACTAGATCACTTCTCTGCTTTCATATGTGTAAAATGGGAAGATTAGCCCAAATAATCTCTTAAATTTATAATGCAAACATTTTATTATAATTCCAGAATCACTAGAAAAAAGTATATATTCCCTAACATGAGTGTTTTGAAGGAAATAATTCTTATGTATAAATTCCAAAATAAGATCACTCTCATTGCTCATTTTATATTTATCAATAAATACTGATATATTTATGTATGTATACTTATTTTCATCATCATTGGCAAGCACTTAAGTGGGTATATGTAGTTCATTATTTGTGATGCTAATGAGAGATTGTATCAGTTTTAAGAGCAGATTTAAAGAACAGAAATATAATTTCAAAGAGACTAAATTATCTATATTGTATTTTAAAGAATGCTTATATCAAGGATTAATATACAGACGATAATGTTGCATAATTTTGCAGAAAAAAGAAAGGCATTAAGTCAACTAAATTGTACAAAATTGGTATGCTTTTAAAATGTTGCTTGTTATTTATAGAATGCATTGTTATTGTGATTATGCAACACTTTGCACATTGAGAAACATGATCACTTTGTGCTGTTAATTCTCTAAGACAGTGTTTCCCTTTTTCGTAGAAAACTTGTTTGCATAGGAAATCATCATACATCTATGGTATACTGAAATAAGTGACTGTGTTAGTCAGTTTGTTTGTAATTATGACCAAAAGACCTGACAAGAACAATGTAGAAGAGGAAATGGTTTCAGAGAGCTCAGTTCATACTTAGATGGCTGACTCTATAGTTCTGGGCCCAAGGTGAGGCAGAATGTTAAGGTAGAAGAGTGTGGAGAAGGAAAGCAGCTCAGGGCATGGTACCAGGAGGCAGAGACAGCTTTGCTCACCAGGGACAAAAATATAAACCCCAAAGGCACTGCCCCCAGTGACTTACCTCTTCTAGCCATACCCAACCTGCTTACATTTATAGCTTAGTTAATCCGTATCAGTGGATTAGTGCACTGATTAGGTTAAGGTTTTCATAACCCAGTAATTTCACCTCTAAACTTTCTTGCATTGCCTCACACATGAGCTTTTGGGGGAAACCTCATATCTAAACCATAACAGTGACTGAGGCTGCTTATGGTTGGAGGGGACTGGCCATGGCCATTTTAGGATCCATCTACTATCTTGAGAGATGAGGGGGCTGGCATCTCTGCACAGTGGTGGGATATCTTGGGGCACACTGAGCTGAACACCCAAGTTGGGAAGCTCTATCACAGGGGTCTTTGAGTAGGTCCTCCCAGGTGTGGAGGACAGAAAGTGTCCCACAGCTCCCTTCCTAATTTCTCCCTTTGATTCTATGACTTATGGGGAAAAAACAGTCAGGATTATTTTATATTATTGTTTCTGAGACAGCCCAGAGTGACCTGGACTGATAAAGCAGCCTTTTAGCAAGCATATAGATAATCTTGTGAAAACTTCCTTTTCCCAACTTGTGTTTAGAATCCAAAGAAAAGTTTTGGTCACTGTGCTTCTATTTTACACTCTGTGGCCTAGCCAGAATAAAATTTTGATTTTTATAATATCTTGTGAATTTCAGCCATACTCTAGTGGTTCAGATTAACTTATGAAAGGACACAAGTGCAAGTTCAGAGAAGGAATCTTGCTTTTTCTATAGCTGATTTAGTGTGAAGTATTTTTAACTAGGGCAGCAGAATAATATGAAAGAATGAACTTAGGTTTTGGAATTTGAATACTAGCATTACCAGTTTTAGATGTATGCCCTTGGACAAGTTAAACAACCCCTTCAAACACAATTTCCTCTTCTATAAAATAGGGATTAAAAACCCTAGTGTTTAGCCATTTATAAGTATTGGAGATAATATATATAAAGTGTCTTGCATATTGCTCAGAACATAGTAACCACATCATCCATATTATCAATCTGAAAGATAGGATGACTTTTCTAAAACTGAGTAGCAGATAAAAAGATATATTCAATAAATCACATATTCAAAACTTCATTCACATTATAACTATCTCTGTCCTGTAAGAGACATAGATAAAATTAATAAATATAGCAATTATTYGTTAGGGGATTAATGATTACAATTTTCCCTCTGGACCTGTTAGTCACCCACATAAAAAACTGTGTTATAGGCAAAGACTTAACTCAAAGGTGCTAGTTTGTGTTACCATTGCTTAGGAGGACCATAAGTATAAATGGTTCAGGGAAAATTGGTCAAAATGATTATTATACTCACTGGTTAGATAAAGAGAAAGTACTTTCTATAACATCTTGGAAACATTTAGTCAATCAAATGGTTCAGATTGCTGTAATACAAAAATCTAGAAGCAAATTGATAGGATTTCTTAAATACATATTCCATGAGTAGTTTAAATATTTATGCATTAATATCCAACGACTCTTCTGTAGTAATAATATCAGCACAACAGCATTTCCTTTGTGCCAGGTGCTTCTCTAAATATTTTATGTATTAACTCAAATTAACTGAAAACAAGTGTGATTAGACATAAAAGAGCCATAAAAAGAGAATAATTTATAATAGGAAATGTTTATTTTCATATGCAAGTTCTGATTCAAAACTATATGAAAAGACAAAAACAGTCAGGTGCTAATACCTGTATAGAAAGTCACCATGAATGTCAAGAGCTTCAAATTCAAGTGTATATTATCTTGGCAGGTATACTATCAGGTATATTATCTTGGCATTCAAAAACAGCAAGTGTCTTTGCCAAAAATAACAAGTGGAAAATTTCCAAACAAAAGCCAATCTTAAATTAATAATAATAAATTAAGCCTTAATTTATATAGTAGTTTAATTCATGGGAAATTCATTGTGTTCATTATGTTCATATGTGTGTATGTGTGCATGTGTGTATATATACACATATGTACATACACATCAGATTTAATTCTAGATTCAGATGATTATCAGCTGTTTTATTACCTCCATCAGTGCCCAGTGGAAGTCTTGAAAGTCATTTTGAATTTGGGAGAATCTTTTGTCCTGCCCATTGTGAGTTATGTAGCAACCTTGATACCCATTGTTCTGAGAATAAAACCAAGCACACTCCCTCAATGAATTTCCAAAATGCACTCTAGGAGATAGTACATTTGTTCTAGCTTTCAAAGGGCTCATAGTCCAATGAATTATTGGCATGCAGCAGTATGATAAATAAATATAGAAGTATATGCATAGTGCATAGTGGACCCACTGATACAAGGGATTAACTCTACCTTTGGAATTCAGATAGGGACTCACACTTGAGCTGGGTCTTAAAGGCTGAATACACCAGGCAGAAAATAGGGGGAAGGTCATTCTAGGCAGGGAGGACTCCACCTACAGTGGTATGGAACATATTTAAGGAATTGAATTAAGAATAATTGGTATTACCAAACATTTCATAAGTCTGGACAGTGATGAAATGTACAACTGTGAAGTTACATAAATGTCAAGGTAATAACTTCATATTGTAA